TACGCTTTGTAATGTGAATCATGAGTTTCTTATCTACAGCCTGAAATGGGTTCAGCTGCGACATGTAATGCATGAAGTGCTGATGCAGTCAGAGTTTGTAATGGTCTGAACTACATCAGCTGGGAGCCAATCAGTGCAAATATGGCTTCATTATGATGTACAGCTTAGATATGGATAATAAAACCTATTTGCCTCGAGGCGTTCACTGCCTATTAGAGCAGATAAATTATTCATGTGGTGAAAAAAATCCACAAAACAAACCTTTTTTCTTTTTGTTTAAGTAATAGCTTTTGGCTTGAATAAACATGAAGAAGTTTCCATCAAAGGATAACGTCTAATCAGTAGAATCTCAGTTTGTGGAGGCAGCATACCCATTCCCAGGTGAGTCCCAATGATGCAGTCATCGGAGCTCCTATCTCTGACGATGCTGCGATAGGATGACCCAGTCACACGCATGGAGCTGCTTCGTTTGTGGTGCTCTGGAGCTCCATCAGGATCTAACAACACTTCAACGCACAAACAGGAAATCAGTAACTATGGTTGGATCTCAGATCATCTGCTCTGAAACCTGGTTTAACATTTTTATTATCAAAAAGTTTGAAACGTTCAGTCATTTGAGGGGCTCCCATTCCACTTCTAAATAATGCATCACTTTTCTGTGCTATAAAATCCTGGATAAAGACTCTGAGAGTGTGTTCATAATGTGAAGAAGCTGAAGCTGCATCCCTGCTTGTTTTCTCCCCCCCGGGCTGTGGGTTCTGGCTCACCACTGCTCTTGAAGCCAAGGAAACGGGACAGTTTGCTCTGGCAGCGCTCCTGTTCATCGTAGGTCAGGAGCTGGTAGATGAACTGCCAGATCAGCTGTTTGGCTGGAGTATCCAACACTGGAAAGATGTCGACGATCAGGGTGTCCACGTTCCTGTGAAAACACCACACAGTCACACTCGGGCTCTCCAAGTGATCACTTCCTGTTCCCTGCTAGTTGACGGTTGAACACAAGGCCTCTGCTGATCTGCGGAGCTACTAAATGAATAAACCAGAGATGTTGGGTTAAAGCTGTTCCTTCGTTCTTTGGGGAGTGGCGGCCTAATGGTTAGGGCATAGGGTGTGGATTCCTGAGGTTGTGACTTCGACACCCACTCCCACAGACTGCCTTTATGGCTCTCTGAGCAAGACCCTTAACCCCTGATTGCTTGATGGGCGCCCCACGTTGGCAGCCTACTGCTTCCCAAGGGGGTTGGTTAAATGCAGCGGTAAAATTTCTCCAATGTGAGATCAATAAAGTTCAATCATTTTTTATCATCTTCTGCTGACCTGTGCTGGAAGAAGGTCTCTAAGGCCTTGCAGACGGTGTATCTCTCCTGGATGGTGAGCAGATGCTCCAGCTGCTGGCTGAAGGTCCGCCCATGAACCTTAATGCTCGGTGGAAGGATCTCCGCCACCCACCGCAGGGAGCTGAGGGCCGGAGACCTGCTGGGCGTGGAAGGACGAACACATCAGGCTTCCTGCTTTTATGAACGCAGAGATTCAAAGAACAGCCCTGGCTTCACCTGGAGCGAGGAACCATTGTTGGAGCCAGACTCTGAGAATCCTCTGGGTCAGTTTGGTCTGAAGAAAAGTCCGACGGACCCTCCTCCACCACCAGAGAGGGCATTGCTCCGCTGCCCTGCAGCATCGACACCACCTTCTCATGGGAACAGTTTCTATAGCAAAGATGAAGTGAAAACAGGAAATCAACATCATATTCAACTCATTTCTTGGATAAATAACTGTTATTTTAGTCCAACCAATCAAAGAGCTGAAAAAAAGCAACACATAAACACATCTTAGCTGCTCTTATGTGCCAAATTTTCGCTTTGAAAGTGCTGCACTGTTGGCCTGATCACCTGCTACAGCAGCGGCCTGCTATCAAGGAGAGCAGACAAATTATACAGCATCAGCTGAACGAGGCAGCCATGGGAACAGCTCTGCAGATCCCAGCTCACATGGCTATCAGGGTGGCAGAGTGAGTAATGATTCTGGGAATGGTGCTATATATCCAGATAAAGCAGCTACATTTAAGTCCATACGGTTTGCAGTGTTTGTTTTTTCTTCATATTTGATCTCCTCTCTTTCTGCCCACACTCCTGTTTGAACTTTCAGCTGAACTTTAAGAACTTGTGAAGTACCACAAGGCCTCCCACAGGTGAGGACGGTTTATGTAAAGACTAGGATCACATGCATCTCTCCTTGAACACGATTCCTTCACTACCTTTGATTACAGCTCCACACTAATCACTGTTTTTATGCGAGCTCTACCTATAAAAGATTAAATGGACCTTTGGTTCTGGAAATAACGACAAATTGGAGGCTTTGGTTAAAAAAAATATTTCTACAGCCCAACGGGGGGCGTCTGCTGTGGCTGCAATGAATGGATGAAAAATCATCCTAAAGGACGACCTTCTGTGGAACTAGAAATCAGATTTCTGCTCTAAAAACAATAGAATAAATTTTGTGTATTCATATTCTGTTGGACCAGGGTTCGGTTTGTCCAGAACATCTTGGTCCCGCTGCTGTTTATGCTTCATTTCTTCTTCACTGACTCGCCTCATGTATCAGCTTTATAAGCTGTAGGACTGTTTCTTGTCTAAAGGGTATAAATGATGGCCTGATTCAAAACCACAATTAAGTTGTCAGTGTTTGAAAAGTGAGATTTGAACATGGAAAAAGTTTTTTTTAGATTTAGATATGAAATCACTTAAAATATTATAAAATAGTTTAACATATTTATCTTTCCTATCAAACTAAAGCTATTTAACAGATTAATTACACATGGGTGGAAATATCTATAGCCTGTATTTCCTGCAATATTTATAAATATGGCTTAAGGAGAATAAAAATAATATTTTCCTCAGAATATTGAATAAAATAATAAAAAAATGTTTTATAGCATAAATGTCTAACGCTCACAAATCGTTGGGAATAATTTTAAATTTCCAGGGAGTTTTTTTTCACAGAGTGCTTTATGCCACATGATCATAGGAAGTTTAAAGGAAGGAAAAGATGCAACAGATGGAGCTGCAGCCTTGAGAGGATTAGCAAACAAATCCATCTAGGAAGCTTCCTAATGAGTAGAATGAGCAGTTTTTGTATTTAAAGTAATATTCTTATATACTGAAAAACTGAATTTCAGGTTTCTATTTTCTATAAACTGCAAACTTTAAATTAAAAGCAGTAAAGGCTTGAAATATTTCACTTGATGTGCAATAAAGCTTTATAAAATAAGAGGTACTCTTTCTGAAATAAAGGAGAAAAAAAACATTAAAATTGTTCATAATGCGCTACATTTGCGACGTGCTATCTTAAGCAAATAGTTAACATTGTTCATATAATTAAGGAAACATAGTTTAAGTGATTCAGAATGGGTTCTGCCTGCTTTCATACAAGAGAGGTGGAATAACAGAAGGCGGTAAATAACAATATTACATAACAGGTGTTACTGGTCCTCTGCTCCCGCCAACACTGACAGCAGAGTGGAGAACAAAGACAAATAAAAATATAAAAAGGTTCTGATCTGAAGACTTTTAAAAGTCTTAGAGGTCATTAAAACCACTGGGATGAAGGGATATGTGGGAATATAGAAAAACAAACAGCGGACCTCCTTAAATTAAGTTCACAATGTACTGATAACTGAGCTGCACTTCCAGGCAACAGAAACAGTTTTTCCCACCAGAAGCTTTCAATAGCATTGGAATCTCTTTATATTTTTCTGCTAATTTGCTCTTTCTATTGGCTTTTTTCACTGGATTCACCAACTAGAGCTGCACTGATATAAAAATTGTGTCCGATATTAACCGATATTTAATTCCTACCCTTTTGACACCATGAAAGGCGAAGTACAAAGCTGACTTTGCTGCAGTTAAAAACCCAAAAGCTGCATCACAATCAGTCACATCACCAAACATCCACCCCATGACCAAACCCCCTCCCCTCTCCGCCTCTCAAAGAAAAACAGCAACTGCAGGAAAATTTATTTCAGCTCAGTTTTACTTATCGGACCGATTCTGATATTAATGTCAATATATGGTGCATCCCTACCATTTCTAGATCTGTGTTGGATTCTGCAGCTTGTATAAAATGGTGGAAGGATTATAAAATATATAATTATAACTTATCCGTGCATCCAGCACAATGTTATGAGAAGAAGAAACCCTCACCTATGATTGCATCCTGTTGATTTTATTTGAAATAAAAAAAGTATATATTTTTTTTTATTAAAGTTCTTTATCTCAGCTCCCTGTGTGTGCATGTCACCTATGTTATAGAGTTGAACTCTTTGTTAACCTCTCTATGTCAGGCATTCATTATATAAAATAATCTAAATTAAAAGCAACATGATTTTTTTTTTTTTTTCTTTTCCTTACAATCAGTTTCCTGTAATACCAAGCATAAACTAAAATGTTTTAAGTCTCTTGGCTCTGTGGTCATGTTCCAAATCATGTGATCTGGACAAATCTAAATATGCTTTAAAGTTTGCAAACCAAACCGAGTCTGAACACTGGATCTTTACCAGAGCTCTGAAGACAAACCTCATGTCCAGTCCGTTGAGGAACAGGATGCGGTCGCCTGGTTTCAGTCCACATTCCTCAGCAGGACTATCTGAGAGGGACAGGGAAACAACAGAGAGGACAAACATCAATCGCTGGATGCAGGAAGAACCCGAACAAGGTGACGAATCTGATGCTGTCAGTCTCTGTCTCTCTGAGAGCAAACAAAGGCCATCAAACTGGAGCTCCATGTCAAACGGCGTTACATAAAGAAGCGGCTGCTGCCATCGCCTCCTCATCTGTCAGCTCTACCATCTCAGCAGACTGACATCTGTTTTCACATCAGCTTCACCGACTCTAATTTCAGCTTTAAGACTTCATAAGTTTTCATTCTTCTCTGTCTTTAATCACTGAAGGGAAGGATGTTCAGCTCACGATGATGAGACACGCCATCCACCCCCACCATCTCCATTTCAGCCTCCATAAGGCCCACTGAGTCAGCGCGCTCCGGCACATATCGGTGGGTGATGATGGTGGGCGAGCTCAGTGCCGTCATCGTCCAACACAAACACAGGAGATACAGAGATACAGAAGCCCCTCCCTCCATCCAGCAGATTCTCTCAATAGCAGCTTTATTTCTGCTGCTGTCATCTCAGTTCATTAAGAAGCTTTTAAAGTCGCAGGTTAGTTTAGGGACGGCAGCCTCTTACATAATGATATTAAATGTGACGCTTCCATGTGTTCGGATCTCTGTGTCATATTTTCCTCTGCAGGGTTTGATTGAATAGATGAAAATTAAAAAAATTAAAAAGCTTAAACCCTGGAAACTACAGAATAACTTTTGTCACTTTAAAGTTCAGTGGAAGGGTTTAAACATCACAAACACATGGCGACAAACTAACACAAACTAGCTTGTTACCATAAGGAGGAAATTAAAACAAATATCCACGGACTGCAGCTTTTGCAGGTTTGCTTTAGTGAAACATCAGTTTTCAAGCCTTAGATGGATTTTGTTCTGGACTTTAACCAGACCATTCTGAGACGTCCAGGTCCTGGTAGGTCTGCAGGTGGTCTGTCCTCACTCCCTGTTCTGATTATTTGAAAGGAGCTCTGGACGTGGTTCAAAGCTTGAGATACTTTTGATTGCCCAAAAGTGGAACTCACAATAACCGATTAAAAACTATTTAACTAAATCTTTTAATCATTTAATTCTTAGGCATTTTATTCTTTCCATCTCAGATTAAAAAAATAAAAGAAACAAGAACACAAATTTGTTGCCTGGATGTAAGTAAGGAATTGAAAAAAACACAGAATAAAATCATATTATAAACCTGTATTTATAAAACTGGAGCTCCCCCGAGTAACTCCCTTATAATAACATTTAAACTTGATGAATTGGGAACAAAATACAGGACAAAATTTATAGTCAGACTGACTTAATTAGTTTTACTTTGTCTTTATCAAAACCTCTGAGCTGCTTTAATGAGCTCTGATAGATCAGTGTGAAAAACAGGTTGTTCTCCACAGAACAGGAAAAACTTCTCATAAAAGAAAACCGATCCCAGCCCTATTTTATTTTACAACCTAAGAATTTCTGTTCCCTCTGCAATGTACTTGCGGACCACTAGGGGTAAACGTACCCCCCTGATTGGAAATCACTGTTCTAAAGAACCTCTGAGGACAGACCTTGAACAGCTGCTGTTGGACGAACACCTGGACTAAATATTTAACTAATTTCTGAAGTTATGTAAGAGTGGATTTATGTAAATCCCTTTATTTTCCCACAATGGGGGACAATAAACCCATCCCCTTGGGGAGCAGTGGGCTGCCATTGTGTGGCGCCTGGGGAGCAGTTTGGGGTTAAGGGTCTTGCTCAGGGACCTATAGTGGCAGTCTGCTGGAATGAGTGGGATTTTAACTCAGAACCTCCAGGATCCAAGTGACTCCCATTTATGTAAGGGAACACAGGAAAATGGGCTGAATTCAAATATAGACCACACTTTTCCGATTTTTATCAGTAACATTATTAAAATCTGATTACTCAGATTAAATGAAACCCAGGCAGCCATTATCCTTCCACTCTTTATCGACTCACACTGTTTTGGTTGATCACATAAAATGACAAAATGAGAAAAGTTCAAGGTGTTTGAATACATTAAGAAGGAACTGCAAATGGGAAAATGTCTCCAAAATCCCTTAATGCATTTGTGTGGCATTTACCAACAGCCAGCATTGATGGAAACAGCTGCTGCTGCACAGCCTGTTCCCAGTGTGTTCCCCTGAACATTTCACTGGCTGACTCAGACTAGTTCACCTCCTGGAACGCTCACAGGAACACCTCCCTGTTCCTCTTTGAATGCTTTCTGCCTAAAACCACAACAGAATCAGCCTCCTCCCTCTTCAGCCCACACACTGGAGCGTTTGGGTCAAAGCCGCTCGTGGAAAAGGGAACGGCTCGTGAGGTTCTTACGGCGGCGTGTTCTGAAACAGAAGCAGTACCTGGGATGACGGAGTCGATGCAGACGGGAGCGTGACCTCGCAGCGTGAAGCCGAAGCTCTTTTTCCCTCTGTAGACACGGATCACCCTATAAAAACAATCCAGACAGAGAAGAAGAGAAATCCTTCAGATATGAGAATTTACTTTGTTAAAGGTTTCATTTCTATTCAGCAGTTTATGATAATCACTACAGAACAGCACTGCTGCTCACATTATTCCGGTAAACATGAACCTTAATATTAAATGCTGCAGACTGCAGCATCTCCATCTACTCATGAATAATGCAGGTATGAAGTTAATACAATATTGGAACCATAGGTAAAAAAAATAAAACAGACATCTAGAAAATAAACTGAACAACTTCATAAAAAACAGAAAATATATATCCTCAAATACTTTAAATATAAGCTAATATTTGGCTTATTTAGACCTTAGTTTAGGGCAGGCATCCCCAAACTCGGTCCTCAAGGCCCCCCGTCCTGCAGGTTTTAGAGGTCTCCTTGCTCCAGCACAGCTGATTTTAATTGAAAGCTGATGGGGATGCTTGGTTTAGGGACTCAAGCCATCATACAGAATAAAACCCGGATTATATTGTCATTATTTATTAATAACATTAGCTTGAAGCTGTTCCTAAAGTAAGACTGACCATAAAATAAATGATATTAGAAGGTTAAGTGATCAGGTCTGTGTCTAGCCTGTAGCGGACTGCTTGACACCTGTTGTTGCCATGGTGATGTGGAGGTTAGTACTTTTAGTCTCTACTCTGTGCTTGTAGAGTAGAGATTTTTACAAACAAATTTGTCTTTTCTTTTTAACAAATAAAAAGTGCAGCAGTCTTTATTCAGCCAGCTAACTGGCAGTGTGCAGGAATAGGTGGGGGAGGGGAAAACACTGCCTCATTCTGTTCTCGGTAAAACAGAAGTAAAATATCTTCTCGCTCCTGCAGGTTTTCATTTAAAGGATTTGATCCGTTAACGGTACGGTGGAAACAGCTCCAAACCTGGAGAACCAGTTTGGTTTGGTCCCCTTTAGACCTCTAAATCAGAGGTTCCTGAATGTTTTCAAATGTTTTCTTATAGAATATGATGAACTTTGGCCAGCTTTTTGTGTTCAGGCTGGGAAGAATTGGTCAGAAGATAAAGATTAATGATAATTTTTTATCCCACATTGAATCCATTTTAGAGTTTCAAGCAGGATAAATGAATAAAGAGAATTGGGTGAGTTTATAACCAAACTTAAGCCTAAAAATCCTACATGGCTGCTTTAATAATAATTAAATATTAATTAAATCTAATCTAATATTTTTTTCTCTTACATATAGTCTCTTGTATATAATTTCTAAAGCATAAAATGACAATTAGCTGTAAATGGTAACTGAAATTAGCAGGTTACACTTCATATAATTTAGCCAAACCACATAGTTATAGATAAATAAAACATAATAAAATTTCACAACACGTTGCCATGGAAACGGTTTAAGGCAACATAGCCTGAGCGTATATAAACAGAGGGAAACCTGTTCTCTGGCTACTGCAGCTCCAGGCTGTTATGTAAGATGAGCTGAGAGCAGAGAGGAGCCTGAAGACCTGCGTGTCTGAGACGCTCCAGCTTTTCCTGTCTGCATTCACACCTTTTCATTAGGAAAAAAGATTCATCTGGATAAAATCAACAGAGATATTTAGATATATATCATTAAATTCCAGATCAGACTTTTAACTCAGTTTCTCATTATTTCTGCCTTTTTTTCTCTCACACCTCTCTCTCTCTCTCTTTGCAACCCTGTTTCTAGATGGTTCCTAACTGCTGGGTTCTGCAGGGAGAGAGTCGTGTTAACCCAACACCATCATCTCCCTCCGATCTGCTGTGTGACATATGCAGCTACAAGAGTTCAGTCTTTCATGAATAGAGACCATTACCACGAGTGTGGGAGTTGCTGCGTTATTCATCGGACAGCCATGTAATCAGGGTGTTAGTGGGTGGAGGATGGGCAGGAGAAGATGTTCAGTGTTCCATGAGGATCAGCTTTTAGCAGCTTCCCTCCATCCTTTGATGCTTAGATCAAAAAATAGTTAAATGGGGAAGTCATTTAAAAAGTTGATTCCTTGCATGAAGAATTAACCAAATACACAGATAGAGCTTTGATTTTTTTTTATGTATAAGCATCATATAGACAAAATATGTATCATATTGTAAACAGTTATTGATTTATCTGCTACTACTTTATACTAATAAACAAAATTATTTTTCTTTACTACTGTAAAAATCTAAAAAAGATCTTTGTTTTAGTTTTCTCTTTTATGCAACTGGATTTTTGTGGGTTTTTTTTGCACATTTGGAAGTAAACAAGCATTGTAATAGTGAGTAAAATATGCATTTCAATATGAATATATTATTAAACATATATTTAAGATTGGTTAATGTTAACATATTTTGATAAGTTTGAATAATTTCAGATTTATAAAAATGGAAAATTTAGCAAAATCCAGTTAAATGAATGAATCATTTGATTTATCTGTGTAGTTTTCCAGCTAAAGCTGGATTATAAATAGTTTATAAACAATTGTTTTAATGAGAGGGAGCTGGCAGGAGAAGCAATAAACCCAAAGAAAGATTTCTGAGTTCTCCTCACAGACTAACTTGTTGCCACTCTGGACCAAAGTCTCTATAAAAAAAGCACCATTTCATTTCTATAATGAACCAGATTCTACCTACCTCTGATTGGGACCGAGTGGGGGGTGTGTGGGTACCCCAGACCCAGATTTTCTTACGCCCCTCTCCTTCTCTGGTTCCCCTCCATCCCTGGGCACAGAGCTTGCCCGCTTGGACCCGTGTCGGCGGTCGGAGTGGTCCTCGCTCCGACTGCGCCGGATCCTGCCCTGCGGCTCGCTGATGCTCTTGCTGCGACAGAGTCGGTTGATCACGTTTTGGGAGACGGCCTCGTCGAAGCGTTGCCGGTGCTTCTTGGGGACGAAGATTCTGGCGAACATAGCAGCATAAGAGGAAGACAAATCTGAGATTGTTTAGATGTTCTATCCACTGAAGGTAGCAGAGAACTGAAGGGAAATCCAAAGAACCAGTTCAGTCCATTCTGGAAACATGCATGAGAGGTGATTAGAAGAAGAAATAAAGATCAGCTGGAACTAATTCAACTCAACAGGCTTCCCCTTCATGTCTGAGAACAGGAGCTTCTGACTGGCAGGTGGGAAGCTGTTTTCCCTGGGGAGACACGCTGAATTTGAAGCCAGGGGGAAAGATGAAGAAAAAAAAAGGATGAGAAACTCTCTGCTTGCTGGAGTCAGACTGCTGCAGCATGAAGTACCACAGCAATAATACAGCAGGAGGAAAAAGGTGTGGGAGTGAGCAAGCTTGGGATTTCTCTTCCACTCAGCCTTTCTATCTCTCTCCATCCTCCTCGACTCCTCCGCTTCCGCCTGCATCTCACCTTCCTGTAGCCGTCTGTGGGGGCACAGAGCGGGGAGCGCTCGGCGACCATTTTGGCAAACAAAAATATTGCTCCATTGTTTTTATGGCTTCATGGTCTGAATATGTGGACGTTTCCAGTTTCAAAGAAATGAACCTGTCTGTACCCTTTGCATCAAAGGTGAAAGGTTAACAAGAGTCTTTATGAACTAATGAATGAAGCCAAACACCAGTAACCATGTCAACCCGGGAGGAGGAGGCTATTCTATCAGCATCTTGGCAGAAACATGATGTTAACCTCCACCTTCCAATTATAAGCACCTGTGCTCCATTGGAGCAGGCAGCTGTTTCAATGTTCAACCATCTAGACTGTTAACTTGGAGCCTTTCCTCCATCTTCCATATGCACATCGTGCAACACATCAGTCTCTCAGGTAGCTGAACGACCCAAACAACTTTATCCTCCTCATGTCGAGGTTGAATGAGAGCAAAGTGTGAACATCTCTCTGAACAAACAGGCCTTCTGTTTCCCTCCTACACCAGCCTACTTTGTTCTGACTCCTGATTAGCTGTTGATCGGATGAATCAGCCGTAAACGCTCAGAGTGTGGGGTTTGAGAAAAACAACACCAGGCGAACAATTAGCAACGAAGCCGCTGTCGGATCAGAGGGAGAAGCTGCAGACAGCACCACACAGCTTGGCCAGCAGCTCGTTAAGCGCCGTCAACAGTTCCAGCTGCTAAATAAAGTAATTAGGACACTTTTTTTTTTTTTTTTTAAGAGCGTTAAGCCCAGAGCTTGCTAAGAGTGTCAATTTGTTTTATTGTTGGAAGAGTTAAAGTTAAATGATGCTTTCTTTGGATAGAAATTTCTAATTTACAAACTTCTGCAACTTCCTTACAGATTTTCTTTTTCTTCTTTATCACATTAAAAACTTTTAAACTATTGATTCAATTAATCAAGAGTCAAGAATACCCAAACCTACCAGGCCCTGTGTAATAAAGGGATCAACACCCTAAACCTCTGATCACTGCTACTGGCTATTTGACCCCATAATCCCTGCTTTTATCCCTCATCTGTGTTCTGGTTCTCAATCATACTTTAGATCTACTTATGGCTATTTATTTTAACATTTCAGCTATAATCAGTATAGTTTTAAGTATGAATATAATTTGCGACATTGGGCATCTATGGAACAAACTACATTTTCAAACTAAACATTTTTATTCACAAAAATACATTTTATTATCATAGAATTTCAAATAAAGCTAATTTGTGGGCAGTTACCTCACAACACAGTCTGAATGACTCCTAACCTTTTCTTTCCAGTACCAGAATACTATTAGACATAAAACATTATCAAATGTTAATCATATTTTTTTTTATCACTATTGCATTTTTATAGTAAAAAGTTTTCAAATACTGCAAAATTACTTTGTTGCACTTTCCGTGAGCTGTTATATGATTCGTGCATTAGCAAAACAAATCAGTGTTAGCTATTGAATTAATGCTAATAAATCACTTTACTGGATAGCCTAATGAGTTTTTATTGTTATAAATGAGTATTGTATTAGAGCATTTTATACTTTGTAATTATTCATAATTGTTTATTTCCTTTAAAGGTTTCTTACCAATCATTGATTTAATTTTGCATACTTAAAGTACATGCATATACTAAGATTATACTCAAACTACACCTATTACTGATGGTCATACATTTAAAACATTTCCATTAGTTAATTGCCTAAAACAAGAGAGAAATTTTATCATTGTTTTTAAAAACAGTGTCAATTCTTACATGAAAGCTTTAGAAGACATTAATAGGCCTATTTTTATTTTTATAATGCACAACCTGACTCCGATTCAAACTGTTTATCAGGTTTAAATGGTCTATTGATGCATTTATTACATACTTGTAATTACTAGCTGATAGCAAAGCACATCTAAGGGCTGCAGTCTACCTGGTCTACACTTAATCCTGCACCACCTCCTTTGTACTCACAATTGTATCCAATAAAGCCAATTCTCTTATGAAAAATAAAAATATGTAAATCTTTAACTTTGCTTATTAAAAGACCTGTTAAAAGATTGATCGTTTGAAATAACAATTCATGTCCTATAGATGTTATTATATGGCAAACATCATATGTACTCACATTTATTGTATCTACTAAATACTGAGGTAAAGCAAAATGGTCGCCCCCTGCTGGTAGAACTTAAAAGTGCAGATAGATGATATCAGGAGCTCTCCATTCAGCACCATTATGCTACGTTCAGACCGCATGCAGCAGAAGCAGCAAAAACGTGCGTGCATCTTATTTTTGATGATGATTGCACAAGTTTATTTCTGACGCGTGGCTGAAGCATCTTTTTGCTGCTCTAGCTGCGCGGTTGAAAAGTGGGTCTGATGCGCGTTGGGCGGAGCTACACTATCCTTTCTTTGTAAGAATGGCGGCTAAATTTGCTGTTATAAAAAAGTTCTTTTAATGTGCTTTTAAGTGAGAAACTCCACCTGAAAACTTCATCTGTTCAGTCACTTCATCAAGATTACGACCCTGCCTTCAAATATTAACTCGATGTTGGAGCCGCTCAACCACACTGGCGGGGCTCTGTCCCTGGAAATCCCATTCAACAGCAGCCTCTGGCCCGGTCGCCTCTTTGCGGTTGTCCGCTACTGTTGTTGCCACCAGAATAATAAAAGTGAACATATTTTGCTGGCAGGTTTGAACATTTTAGGTTAATTTAGGTGTTGATAACATTTTTCAGAGGAGTGATCATAGCGGTCTGCATCCGCGGTGCTGTCTGTCTCCCTGCCAGGTCTCAGATCAGCATCTCTGATTGGTTGATGTGGCGCGTCGAGCAGCAAAAGGGACATTTTTCCAACTCTAGCATCTGCTGCTTCTGAACCGTATCACACGTGTCAGATGCTGATGCCCTTCAGATACTCAGAAGCTCATGAGGTGCTGCTTCGGCTGCTCAAAACGACCTTTTGCTGTGCCTTGATACACTTCAACCATTGACTTTGCATGTAAACTAGCTGCCTCTGCTGCTTGCGGTCTGAACATAGCATAAGAGAAAATAAACCCAGAAGTTGTTGTGCTTGAAGAGAAAAGAAGAGTTGTACAAAATCATAGTGAGCTGAATAGCTGTAGAGAAAAAAATCAAGTTTAGCTGTAGTTTAATTGGAGGTAGAGTTGTTGGGATTTTAGGTTGTGTAAAATGCCTTATTCTGACCCATCTGTAGCGACTTGGATGTCACCATGAGCTCACAGATAAAGCAGGTTTCTGCATCCCTGCTGTGACATAAAGTGGAGAAGAAAAAGGGAAATATTTCTTGGGACATACTCTGCCGGTCAGACATCCATCTATCCATTTGAAGCTTTTACCAAATCACTTGAACAGGTTCATTTCCAAGGGGAAATAATACAAAATGTTTTAAAGATTTTTAGAGGCCAACAATGTGTCCACCAGTTTCAATTTATGGGGTTTTTCTCTGATCTATTTGAAACAACCTGACTTATTTGCAGCTGCTCATACAAACAACCAAAATCTGATAGAGAAATGTTTTATGCTTAGATCAAACCAGAACTGTGTGTAAAGTTTCAAAACTATAATAATGATGTTTTGCTTCTAAATGTATTGACCTCCCCTCCCCATAAATGGGATATTTACACCTATCACAAAGTGTATTGTTTCTTAATAAAGTAAATAATCCAGTTACAGTCATTTTAGCCATTATTGCAGATTTAGCTGCAGTGTTAACATGCATTAAAAAGAGGCACTGTACCTTTAAGTTATTTGTGATTCTGGATCCAGTCAGCATTTTCTCACCCTTTTTATGGCCCGGCTTTAATGAAGCTGTCATATTATACATTTTGTGTCTTTTTTTGGAACAAATCTGTTCAGATTAAGATGTAGGCCACGTGTTATTAGGCTGCTGTGAGTGTGTCTACAGGCTTTGATCAGTTTGAATCTGCAGTTCGAGCGCAGCCTACTGGCTGCAGGAGGCAGACTCCTGAGATATAAATAAATGTTCTTGGTTCTATAAAACCAGCAACCCACTCACTCCCCCTCTGCCTGCTATCTGAGCTGCTGCTGGGCTTTTGTTAGTACCTGGATGCCACTGGGTCTTAGACAGACATATGTCTCTATGTTAGGAGGATTTGTTTGTATGTGCAGTGGTTTCAAAAAACATTATTTAAGCACATCTGTTGAAACAGACTCTTCATCACAAAAAGTTCCCTGCATCAACTTGTGGAAACTTATATGTTCTGATTTGACCTGGTTTGAAAAGAACAGAGATCTATAATTGTCTGGAGGAGGATTATGGAGGAGGAAGCAAGCAGGGGACGGATTTCTCAAAAGGGAGGAATGACAAGCAAAATCTGTAAAAAGTAGACCTAATTTCCGTCAGCAGTCCAGATCAGAGGCTCTGATGCCGGGAATGGGGGTTTGGTGGACCAGGTGACACGTCCAGAAATAGATGGTTTTAGAAACCTCCTGATTTGTCTGTTCCTCTGTAGGACTGATTAAAAAAAACAACCTCAGGGGGATTTGTTTCCCTTTAAAAAGCAAATCTACTCACTGAAAGATTCATGCGCAAACCTATTAGAGTGACAGATGAAGAGGGGAGTGTGCTGGTGGAGAATCAGACGCAATGAAGGGATACAGTGAAAATGTATCATTACAGATTTGTTCCTTTGCGTACTAAAAGGTTTAAGATCAAAAACAGATTGTAGAAACTCGCGACTTTAACTAGGCCACTCTAAAATCTCGGTTTAGTTGATTTTTCTTAGCCAATCAAATGTGAACCTGCAGTCGTTTTCTGGATAATTTCCTGCAGCTCAACCTGAATGAGCTT